AGCTTCGAAACTTTACAAAATTAGAGATGAGCAGACTTTATGGGCTGGAAACACATTTAGCACCATATGCTCAGTTGATCCTTGGTGTGAGACTAACAACCTGAAGGATTGTTTAGCACCAGCACCACAGCTGATTTATTTCTCTTTATAGCTTGAAGGGGTCAACACATATCTCCAGTCAAGGAGTTCCAAGGAAGCCAAGTCAGGCTGGACCCAGTGGAAAGATTTACTCAACGTTTCCTGGTGAAGCCTGGCAGATGGGCATCGTCACACAGCATTTTGCAAGCGGTTTGATTTGCTCACTGCATTTCCTGTGCTCTTCTGGGCAGGCCAGGGAACTCCCCAGCTGGAATTGTGCAACCTCCAGCTGGGCAGATATCTCATGGGAACAGGGGATTTGGGAGTGCTGGACCTGCTGTATGGTAAAAGGGGTGAAGTGACCTCTCTGCTCCTTTCTAAGCAGTTTTTGGTTTTTTGTCACTGCTAGAAGAGACTGAAATGTAAATTAAACCTCGTGGTAACATGCAGTGCACTCTTGTGGAAGAAGTAGAAACCTTTGAGGGTGAAAAGAAAAAAAACCCAAAAATATAAAAATCTCTGAAAAAAACTTGACCTGCTATATTTTTCCTTTATTTTTCAAGCACATTAATTAATTCATTTCAATTAATTCAAAGCACAGACCAAGAAGAATATTATATCTGCTTTAACAGCAGTTATTAATTTGTTCCCTTATTATTTCCCTCACTTCCTCCTCTAAATTAACAATAAATTACAAAGAACTACCCTTAAAAAACAAACAACAGAGCCCAAATATTTTGAGAATGAAACTCTTCAGAAAGGCCCACTGCCCAGGTGAAACGCTCAATCAGTTTTGGATTTATTTTTTTTTCTTACTGAAAATGTGGGTGGTTTTCAAATACAGGAAAGAAAACACGATGGCTTGTGGTGATATTTTCCACCAGAAAGATGCAGCTTTAAGGGCTTTTGGTTTCCAGATACCTCCACCCACAGGAGTGGCCTCATCTGCTGTAGAACCTGATTAGTTGTAGAGTCGAGTTAAATGACAATAACAATGCTCAGCAGTTGTTGTGTGGTTCAGTGGAAGCTCTGTGTCAGCTAGGTAATTATCCTGGGTCTGGGTAATTAATATGGCAGCTGCCTCCCAGACCACAGAGCTTTTAAATATGATAAAAAAAAAAAAAAAGGGGTGGAATGAAGTGGAGAATATGTTCTCTGTATCCCTGGTGGACAGGATGGAGTTGACCCTGCTTCTTGCAGGGGGTGTGGACTTGACAGCCTTTAAAGATCCTTTCCAGTCCAAACCATGCTCTGGTTCTGTGATCCCATAATGAGAAATGGGCTTAAATGCCAGCAAGGAAAGTTTAGGTTACACACGAAGGGCAGTGAAGGACAACTTTGGGACAGGCTGTGGCAGGCAGGTGTGGACCTCACCAGAGGTCTGGAGTGACAAGATGGGTGAATGTCCCTTCAGAAAGGGCTCATGTTGATTTATTTTCCCTTGAAGCAGGTGTTGGAATCCTTGGCTTGTCTTGCCAACAATTTTCCCTGACCTGAGATCTTGTACAGTTAAATGCTTTGCTGGAGGAAGATGCAGGCTCAAACCTTCAGCCAGATTGGAGGTGTGAAAAATGCCTATTTTATGATTGGCTTTTTGCAAATATTCAAATGAGTATTATATGTGTTATGTTAGAAAGTAATGCTGTATTAAGTCTCTTAAGTAGTGTGTTACATATAGTTTTGGGTTATAATAAAATGTTAAAATAGAAACTATGCTATGTAGGATACTTTTTTTTCCTAAAGAAAGGACTCACACTGAGATAGCAGCCACAGGACACCCGAATCTTTCAGAGAAAGAGAATTTATTGCCCCATTATCAGAAGAAATTAACTTCTTCCCACCTTGCTCAGCTCTGAAGACACTGTCTGGATTAGGAGGAAGAAGCTGACCCTGACCAGACAGAATCCTGTGTTTGAATGGAATTTATGCATCATGGATGAGGTGTATGAATATGCAACAGGTTATTGTTTTTAAGGCTTAATCCTCTGTTGTTAATGTGGGTCCTTTTTTGGGCTTATACTGCCCAGAAAAGGTACCTGGACATCCATAACTCTTTGTTTCTATTGTCGCATATTGTCCTAATCCAAATTGTCCAAATGATTATTACTGTAATTGTATTACTATTTTTATAGCCATTTTCTTACTATTAAATTTTTAAAACTTTAAAAACAAGTGATTGGCATTTTTCACAGAGGTAAGTGGCCTGTGTGCTGATTTTTGTGTGTGATACATGGACAGTAACCCTGAGCCTAAACATCTGCACATCTGCCAAGTTCCTATAGGCAAAGGCATCCCCGTGGAGACGCCTGCTGTGTCATGCTCTGACCCCCAGACACAGAATCACAGAATCCCAGGATGGTTTGGGTTGGAAAGGACATTAAAAACCATCTCATTCCAACCCCCTGCCATGGTCAGGGACACTTTCCACTAGACCAGGTTACTCAGAGCCCCGTCCAGCCTGGTCCTCAGCACTTCCAGGGATGGGATGTGACCCATGTGAGTGAAGCAATGGGGTCAGGGAGTGGGGGACAGACCATGGGGCTGCATCCCAGCTGGGGAAATGCCAGTACACCACCCAGAGCTTGCACCCAGCCCAAGTGCACGTAGATGTGGTCCTCTAAACACCAGGTTCCTGTGCAAATTTCATCAGCAGCATCAGCAACCAACAGAGCTGAAAACTTGGGATGGGAATACATGGAGTTTTGATTATCTACAGCTTGCCTTCAGCTGGGGTGAAAGAATCTATTCTTTTTATATACTTTTGGTAGCAACAGCCCAGTGTAATGGACTCTGATGCAGACAGGAAGGATGATGTGTAAGTTAATGGGGTGTGAGCAATTAAAACGCAAAATCATCTGCCTCACTAAATGTCTTTTTCTCTCCTGCCAATGACAGGAATAGGTATTACAGACTAATTGTCTCAGAAAATAGGAAAGAACCACTCTTTGAAAGCAATTCATTTCCCCTCATTTCCAAAATCCCAGCAGCCTTTCCCTTTGCCTCACCTCCCTTTTCTTTATTTTAATGCATAATTTACATTTTAGAGACCAGCATCAAGGGCAAAATAATCACAATAATATTCAAAGGGCCATCCCAGCCTGCTCTAAGTGAATACTTACAGGCCCTAAAATTTCTAAGCACCTCATTTGGGTGATCTCAAACAAAACATGTTTCACAGAACTGGCAGGTGTGGTGTTCTGTACCTCAGCCTTTTAGAGAAACATTATCTGAGATTCTTCACTGGAGCTTTTGGAGCCACAGAAGGTGGCTGAACACGATCTCATATTCTCTGTGGGTTTACCAGGGAGCTGAAGGACATCTTTAGGTCTCCTTGCTAAAGCTGTCATCATGTTGATCTGTCTGCCACCAAAGCCCACAGGTCTCACAGAGCTGGTGTGGCCCTGGAGGATAGGGGAATTTCCCACTGTCTTCTCCAAAATCCCTTGCCACCACATTTCTGGGGTTTCCTTTCCTTCTCGTGGTTCCTCTCCCACGTTCCTGGGCCAGTTTCCTGCTCCAGATCCACCCATCCATGACCTCCAGCATCACACCTTTCCTGACAGCACAGGAGGAAACCATGATTCCCGTGGGGCTCAGAAGGTCTCCTAGGGAATATCCTGAGCAAAACTCACTTTTGACACCCTCAGCCCCTGAAAGGGGTGCACCAAACCAGTACCACCCATCCTTCTTCCACACAACAGCCTGGTCTGAGGTTCCTAACAGAACCAAGGACATAACACAGTGCGAGAGATGAATGAGGAGAGGACTTCTCTGCAGACACTCCCTCTGCACCCCTGTGGAAAACGCCAATCACTTAGTTTTAAAATTTTAAAAGTTTAATAGTAACAAAATGGTTACAAAAATAGCAATACAGTTAGACTAATAATAATTTGGACAATTTGAATTAGGACAATATGAGACAATAGAAACAAAGAGTTAGGGACAGTCCAGGTACCTTTTCTGGGCAACATGAGCCCGAAAAAGGACCCAGGTTAACAAAGGATTAGCCCTTTAAAACAATAACCTGTAGCATATTCATACACCTCATCCATGATGCAGAAATTCCATTCAAACACAGGATTCTGTCTGGGCAGTGTCAGCTTCTTCCTCCTAATCCTGACGGTGTCATCCTAACTGAGTGAGGTGGGAAGAAGTTCATTTCTCCTGATAATGGAGCAATAAATTCTCTTTCTCTGAAAGATTCAGGTGTCCTGTGGCTGCTATCTCAGTGCGAGTCCTTTCTTTAGGAAAAAAAAGTATCCTACATAGGATAGTTTCTATTTTAACATTTTGTTATAATCTAAAACTATATTTACCACACTACTTAAGAGACTTAATACAGCATTACTTTCTAAAATAACATGTATAATACTCATTCGAATATTTGCGAAAAGCCAATCATAAAATAGGCATTTTTCACACTCGACAACAAAAAATCAGGTTGTCCTGTTTGATTATTTTGGGAGAGAGCTCCACTGCAGCCAGGGACCCCGGCCCTAAGGGACACCGTGCTCGGGATGTGCGGGGGCAAACGGAGAGGACACCGGGGACGGGGAGGGGCTGGTCCCGAGGGCGAGGAGGAGGAGGAGGAGGAAGAAGAAGAAGAAGAAGGGCGGCCAGGGCAGCCCCGGTGGTGGCTGCGGACGGCCCGGAGAGCGCTGCTTCCTTGCGGGGGCGGCGGGAGCGCTGAGCCGGGCCGGGCTAAGCCGGGCTGGGCTGTGCCGGGCGGAGCTCAGCAGAGCCGGGCTGGGCTGGGCTGGGCTGAGCCGAGCTGGGCCGGGCGGAGCTCAGCAGAGCCGGGCTGGGTTGGGCTGTGCCGAGCCGGGCTGTGCCGGGCGGAGCTCTGCAGAGCCGGGCTGGGCTGAGCCGCGTTGTCCCGGGCGGAGCTCAGCAGAGCTTAGCTGGGCTGGGCTCTGCAGAGCTGAGTTTGTCTGTGCCGGGCTTAGCCGAGCCAAGCACAGCCAAGCTGGGCTGTGCGGGCAGGACTGGGCTCAAGCCAAGCCAAGCAGAACTGAGCCGAACAGGACTGATCCGAGCCGAAAGGGGCTGATCCGAGCCGAGCCGCGCTGCGCGGGCAGCAGGTACCGCCGGCGGAGCGGGATGCGCGGGGATGCGCGGGGGATGCGCGGGGGATGCGCGGGGATGCGCGGGGGATGCTCGGGCAGGGCCGGGCCGGGCAGGGCAGGGCAGGGTGTCCCGCTGCAGGCCAATGTGCCAGGGCCGGGTGGGACCTCCGAGGGTGAACCTGTGCAGCAGCCCCGGGAAAGTTGAGGGCCCTGCTTGGTGCATTTCAGCGTCGCTTGCTCTGCCGTAGCCATCGGCGCCGCTGTTTCGGGGTTTTGAAGGTGATAACTTCGCGTTTGCCCGGAGAGTTGTGTTTTATTTGTCTTTTTACCTTTAAATGAGAGTTTAAATTGCTTTCAGCTTCTCCACCTGATGTCTCTTGCGAGTGTTTGCGGTTTCGCCATGGCATTTTCCTGCCTTTAAAAGAGAGCGTTGTTTTCTCCCGTGTATCTTCGTGTAACAGTGAAAAGGGGGAAAGTGAGAAACATAATGAAACAACTACAATGAAACAACGACTACAAACACTTTTAGTCAACAGAGTGAACAAACTGGGGAAGATAGAGAGGGAAAACCCTTTCTCCTGCTGGGCTCAGTGATGATTTGTAGGTTACAGCAGTATGTGATAGGATAGACAGACAGAAAATCGTTTTAGAGGCTTTGCTGCATCTCAGCGGCTGGGTATATCACTTTGGGGTCGAGTTTGTAATGTGCTAGAAAGAAGAGCTGCGGTAATTTTGGGCAGTTTAAGGGGAATGAACCCTCCATCCCTGCTCACTCCGCAGCGCTTCCTTTCGGAGGAGGGGACTGAAACCCCAGCCCGGCTGAATTCTCTGCTGCACATTGAACTCGAGCACAGCTAAACTCTTGGGTGTAACCAGAGCCTTTCTACAAGGCAAGTAACCAACTTCTCGCCTGTACTTTAATCTCCAGGAGCGTGATACTTTTCAGAGAAGAAGGTTTTTTTTTTTTTTTTACAAGTTGTTTTATTTGGTTTTTTTTCATTTGCACCGATGAAAGAACAGTAGCAAAAAAAACCGACTTCAGCAGCTGAAAGCCACTGAATTGAGTCATGCTAACAGCAGATTATTTAGTAGGGTTACTAGGGCAGGAAGAGATAAAGTTTCACTGAACTTCTATTAAAAAAAAAAAAAACAAAGGCGGGGGAAGCAGCAGAACTATTTGCAGAGAAAAGGGCAATGTTCAAACTTTTGTATTCTTGAACAGCCAAGTCCTTGAGGCCCTGCACGTGTGGGTTTTTTTTTTTTTTTTTTTTTTTGTATTTCTCTTTTTATCCTTTTTAATTGAAGAAAGGACCTCACATCCCTGTTGAGGCCACCAGGCATTGTGAGTTTCTGGGGAATGAGCTTTAGGAGCAGAGTTGAGGGACCAGCGAGGAGCACCTGCTCCAAGGAGGTTCTTGTCCCACCTGGATGTGGTGGAACAGGACTGAATCCAGCTGGAGGTACCAGGGTGCTCCTAGGATGCTGCTTTCCTGGAGTTCACCAGGGAGCTGCCCTTGCCTGAACTCCTGGCATCAGAATTCAATCTGAATCCCAGTGTTGTTGCCTCTGTCTCTTTTGTGCTGTCTCAGCTGGACATGAGGCTTTGGTGTCTGCCAGACACCACTTTGGTGTCTCTTTACTTGCCAAGGCTCCCTGAGCCCTGCTGGAGCCCTCATGTTCCTCATGTGACTCTGTACCTGTGTGGACATGAGGTGAATTAAGCAAGTGATGCTCAGCCTGTGCAGAAGTTTTGGCCTGGAAAGAATCCCTGCCTTAAGATGATGCCACAGTTGCACTGGCACAGGCAATGCAGAGTTTAGTTGAATTTCCCCTCACTTTTACATGTATTTTATTATTTGGTTTTTAAGGTCCTATTGAAGATTCAGATCTCCCTCCTGAACCTCTACCCTGCAGCTCAGCAGCCCCCTGTGCCCAGGCTGGTTTTGTGCTCACGTTGCTACACTGGGGAAACCTTTTCATTTTCTTTTTCCACCCCGAGGAGAGCTGTGAGGGTTCTTACACTGCCAGGGTGGAGCTAACTAAGCTCTTTTTTCCCTGCCTCAAGTGTGTTTCCTTTCAAAGAAAGTTACTTGGTTGACTCTCAGAGCTTCTCACAGGAGCAACATGTGCCTCAGCATCCCATCAGAGGTGGATGGAGACCTCAAAGGGAGGAGGGAGAGGTAAGAAAGGAGGGATGGATGGAACAAGAGAAGCAGCTTAGCTTTCCCAACATGCCAAATTTTTATTTTTCTTCCTTGGCATCTTTTGCAGCTTAGTCTCTGTTTCCACATTGTTCTGAAGGAAGTGATATGGTGAATATAACTTCTGATGGCAACCTTTTGGTTTCTTCTCTTAATAGCTGAGTTTAATTGCAAAGAGCTCTGCAGCAGCCTGGGAGGGAGGTGAAGTATGAAACACCTTCCAGGCCTTGGCCAGGAGAGCTGTTCTGCTCTTGGCTTTTTTAAGGCATGTGTTGGTGGATCCAAGTTAAAACACTTGGCTGCAACCTCTGCTGTTTCTTCCCATTTTGCAGAAGCCAGGATTTGTGTAAACAGAGTGTTGTTCTTTGCCTAAGCTTAGAGAAAGTGACTCTTAAACTAGAAAAGGAAGAGAAAGTCAGTACAGGAGTATGAGCATCCTGAACCTGTGTGTGTGTGAAACCATGGAAAGGGTTAATCAGAGCCTTGAGCCTGTAGTCACAGGTGCCAGGAGCTGTGCACAGCTCCCTCCCAGGGCTGCTCACGTGCCTGTTCTCACACAGAAACGTTCCCCAGATCACTCTGGTGATTGGCACTGGAAGCAGCCTGCAAACACTCACTGACAGTTTGTTTCCATCCCTTCTCTGTTCGCCTCCTTGCCTCGCATCCAGCTCCTGCTTGGGAGGAAAACATTGGCAAAGGCAGCCCAAGCTGCAAACCCTTCTCTGTAGCCAATTGCACAGTGTTTTTATTGTATCATGGCTTGTTTGTGTCAGTTTTGAGATTTATCTGCATCGTTGCTTCCTTGTGTTAATATTGGTATTTATCAGGCTTGTTGGAGAATTTTCATCTCTCACACCCAGCATCAGAGATAACATTTATTAACTGTGATAGTGAGAGTGGAAGGGACCCAAATTACTTTTCAAATCACACCCAGCTGTCTTAGCAATGGACAATTCCTCTGGTTGCTATCATCCCTTTTAGTAACACCATTGCTTCTGAGTGATTTTCTGGGGCAGAGTGGTGAAATCCCTTTTGGGAGTATTTTTATTTCCACCTATGTGTAAGAACATGTGCTGTGTTTGGGGCAAAAATGCTGAGTGGAGTAAATGTACAGTTGTAAAGGATGTACCCAGGGTGAGGTGAAAAGAAGCTGGTGCAGCTTTCACTAAACTGTGCCTCGTCTCTGTCACCACATGTGTAGTGAGGATGTAGGGCTCAATTATCTCTCAAGTGAATTTCCTGATATTTATCTGAGCTGTAAAGACCCATGAGATGTCAGGGGATGAGCTCAACATGATATCTTTCTGTTTTGTTTCTTTTTTAAATGGTCATTTCCACCTCACATTTGACCCATTTTGGGCTGGATTGTTTCTCAGTAATCAACTGCCTCAATTGTTACAGCATTTAATTTGCTTGGCATTCACTGTGAAGCAATGTATCCTCCTTTCCTGATCATCCCACTTATCTGCAGGAAATCAAAATGGAGTATTTGCATAGGAAATACCAGTGCTAAAGGACAAAAAAGTTTCTGGTTGATAAGTGAGGAGAGGGAGGTGATGAATCTTGGGCCCATGCATGGATGGTATTCAGCCTGATTCTGTTAGAATCATAGATCACAGAATGGTTGGGTCAGAAGGGACCCTAAAGATCATCCAGTTCCAACCCCCTTCCACTATCCCAGGTTGTTCCAAGCCCTGTCCAACCTGGCCTTGGACACTTCCAGGGGTTCTTAATGAGAAATCCGCATTTACCAAATTTTTTTCATTTACCAAAATGTCACCTCCTGGCATAGGCAGGGAACCCAGAGTGATGAAGAAGATCAGTTTTCATACAAGGTTAGCAGACCACGGAGAGTTAAAGGAAAGTATTTGATGTGATGACTAGAGGAGAAAGTTAGAACATCTTCCATGATACTTAAAGAAATCCAAAAATGGCATTAAAAAACTTTTTGTACTTATCACATGATAATTATCAACATATTTGTCAGTGGGAGGACTGTATCCATAATTAAAACTGCCCTGACAGGAGAGAGGGATGAGACCACAGATGAATCCATAAAAATAAGTTATTTCTATAAACATATATATATTCTTACCTACAGTGTGTATGAGTAAAAGCAAACTTAGTACAGATAATGGTGCATATGGAAGCAGAAAAGGTGAAAGAAGGAGATGGAAAGAAGGGGGAGGTGTTCCAGCCTTGTGTGTAGCAAAATTCCAGCTCTTTCTGGGCACACTGACCTGCTCCCTGGTGAAGGGTTCCAACAGCAGGATCTAAGCTGGAAGCCTCAGGGTCTACAGGCTCAGATGGCTTTGGAGGACAAGAGAAATTGAGGAGTTTTCCTCTCCAAAGCACTGAAGATGGTCAAGGGTTTTTTTAAAGTTTTTTAATGGAAAATATTTTGGTCCACAACAAAGATGTTTTGATTCTGAGCTGTTATTTTGTCTTGCAGGAATTTAGTTAAAGATGATGGGTGCATTTCCCTTCAGTTGTTTCCTGCAAAGTGCAACATGACATCTTCACGTGGTGCAGAAAGGTGTTGGCTCTGTCTCCAGTGTCCATGGCAATAGTGATCAGGGAAGATGTGGATCTGTGGATAAATCTGGTTGGCAGAAAGAATGAAGATATGTGGGAACCTTAGGGATAAGTCATTGTGATTCGTTTGCTTTATTAAAATATTTCAGACCCTGCAGCAAAACCCATCACTTTGCTTCAGAAAATACCCATATTTTTTAGTTGAAAGAAGATAATTCTTTAGGCTTGCCAGAATCATCTATGGCAACAAAAAGCACTTCTCACCACCTACTTCCAATG